GAGGCCGAGAAGGCTCAAGATCTCAGTGCGCTCCTGGGCTGCACAATCGACCCCACACAGGTGATTCTCGCGCACAGCCCGATGCAGCTGATCGTACCGCGGTATCGGAACGAAAGGGTCGTCATCGCTGGCCCCCCGCGATGCGCTGAGATCGCGCGGGACTACGGCTTCACCCGCGCGATGAGTATTTTAGAATATCAGGCGGAGCATCCCGAGACTGTGCCCTTTAAACGATGGTCCAATGAGGGGCGGGTCAATGGGCTTCCGAAGCCCGGGACGATCCCTTTCCCGTCGGTCGCCGCCATCTTTCAGTTCAGTGACGTTGAGGACGCCTTTAACGACATTCAGACAACTATGGATCTTTTGCTCTCGCCCTACGGGAATGTGGGAAAGTACGTAAGCGGGGTGCAGACGATCCCATACTTTCAGGCCGCAGACGATCTGCTTTGGGTATCCGAAGCCCCCCTGCCGCGAATTGCGCAGGGCGCCTACCGCGAGATGCTCTCCGCCGTCTTCGAGAGCATCACAGGCCAAGGCCTGGAAGTTACGTTTTACGGCAAACCCCGCAGGATCGCCTACGCCTATACGGAAAGACGTTTAAAAGAAGTCTCCGAGGCGCTCGGGTGGAAAGTGGCAGATTTGCGCGCGATTTTTATGGTGGGGGATAATTTAGATACCGACATTCTTGGCGCAAATGCTGCGCAGGGGCTCTGGACGAGCGTACATGTGCTTTCAGGAGTCAGCAAAGCCGCCGCCGCGGGGCGTACGGTGAGCGAAGGTGATGAGGAATACAAATGGTTAGAAACGTCCATTTCAAAGGTACCGCACTACGTTGCCCCTACGGTGGATCACTTCGTACGTGAGCTCCTCGCTTTTCCTGAAAATGCGGTTTTACAAAATAAGATGCCTTACTACGGAAATATAAATCCAGTCGACCTAAAGGAAACGTATAACTTTGACTTGTCGGTTAAGTAATCTGATTTTGTATGAAAGTCGGTACATATAGATCATTGTTACTTTCTCTTTATAATATATATTCCACAATCTCATGCAATGTTCATTATCTCCCCTTCTCTACAGCTTTACATATATTGGGCTGAGCATATCTGGAATTTACATACACATACGTATTTATATACATAAATATAGAGCGTTATTATAAGGCAGGGCAAATTTCAGTTTAATTGATTCAATAAAATCTAAAAAAAAATGGATAATATTTTTCAAAGAGTACACACGATGGTAATACTAGCTATGTATTTTACCTGTTTCTTACTCAAATTGAAAGTTGTTTTTCTTGACGTGTTTTTGTTTGTATTACGTTGCCGATCCTTTACAGAAATGGTTTATGTGTATAAATTATATCCTGCACCGTTTATTTGGCCGCGTGCTATGTATAATAAAAAAATATATATATAAAAAGTAGATCCACGAAGAAGGTATATAATGTATTAGCATAATGTAATGACGATATGCTTAATAATATCAACAATTACGCTCTTATAATTACCGCATATTGAATGCTCAGCATGTTTATTTCCTTCAACTAAAAAAAATAAGGCCCTTTAAGTCTCATGTTCTTTGTATTTATTTCCTTTCTTCGTTTCCGTACTATTATGACATTATTCATGTAGACAAATCAATAGTGATGACGTTTTAATGTTATACTTTTTTTATACCACTTGTACGTAAATAAACACTGTTTCAACGCACCAACTAATGTTAAATAATACCCTTGAAGTAGGAAAAACTGAGCATGATTTACATTCAGAAATTTGTCTGAATGCGTTGAGATTTAGGGCACTTAAACGCAGTCAGAGCTGGACTATATTTTGATGTTCTTTATTTTTTCCAGCAATGGTGTGGAATTCGCTTAGCAGAGCTGTTTTTTAGTTTCTTCTGGGCAATGCGGTAATTCCATAAATATAAAGCTTACATTGTTTTTCTTATCCTATGGTTCGTTTTCTGCAACCAGATATACTTGGGCACTTTATCTCTTTTTTTTGCAGCGCGACGAGGATGTTGTTTACCTTTGATCTTTGCTAATTTGTTTATTCTTTGTCTTTAACCTTTTCACCATATGTCATTTCATTTGACACAAGTCACACAAATTCAAAAAAATTATACATTTATTTTCCGATTTTAAAACTTTGTAGTTTTGTTCTGAGGATTGCTCAACTTACCATTGGTAACTTTTCCTATTTGATATAACTCTTGTTCCCCCCCCTCCCCTCTT